GTGTTGTGAATCAATAAAAGTTACTAACATAAATGCAAATCAGGGTTTGGAAACCTGCACACCTGATTGGCCCTTATACAACAACTAGGGATTGGTCCATAAGTAGTCCCTGATTGGCCACTATTTGGACACTTCTCATTGGTTATAAGTTTGAACTTATGGCACATGTCATTGGTTAATAAGGTAGCAGATAACCCTATAAAAGGGTTGCTGTTGCCCATAGCCTTGCTCTGTTCTGTTCTATTTACGATTATTAAAGAGTTGAAGTCACTGGTCAGATGTCTGGTCTCCATTATTTCCCAAACTTAACACTTATATTATTACAGGTGTTCATTTTTGTTATATCCTTATTTACTTAAAAATAATGCCCATTTTAATCCCATAGATATGGTGCCATTCAGATATGTTAAGAAAGTACAAACTTTCTTTTTATTTATAATTATCAATAATAATTTGTTTATTATAGCATTCCTGGAAAATAATTGCTGTACACTGAAGGTAGGGTTGAAGATACTTACATTTGCAGTCTGTGCACTGTGTTTTGTGATAAATATGAAAGAAATCACAATTATCTTAAGTGTTTGTGACAGTGGGATCAGGCTTAATATATGATAATAAGCAGGGGTGGGATTCTACCAGTTCGCACCTATTCGCTAGAACCGGTTGTTAACATTCTAAGCAGTTCGGAGAACTGGTTGTTAGAAGAAATTTCTGGCCTAATCCTGTAAGGAAGGCAGGAAGGAAACATTCTGGTGTTGCTTACAGAAACTGCCTCTCCGTTAACCCTTTTTACATTCTTGGCAGGACTAGACTTCCTGTCTCTGGAACTTCTCTGGAGGTTTTTTCCCTCCTTTGCTGGTACTTTGCTTGTGTGGAGTGACCATTCAAAGTTACAATGGCACTGAAAAAAGTGACTTATAACCATTTATTGACACACTTATGACTATTGCAGCATCCCCACAGTCATGAGAGGCCAGGCGAGGAGATGTGTGCCTCGATGTGAGTGATGTTGAGTTGGCCAAGCCCAGCCAGTCACATTACCACCAAGCCATGCCCACCAACTAAGCCACGCCCATGGAACCGGTTGTTAAAAAATTTGAATCCCACCCCTGATAATAAGCACTTCCATTGGGAAAGACTGGATTGTGTAAGATAATTACCTGATGTAATAATTAGTATAATTTAAGGATTTGTCCTCTTAAAAAATAGTAGGAATTTGGGAAAGCCCTGCGATTAGATGATTTCTCTGCAGAACTAGCCTGAATATTTATTTTCGCAGATGAGTAAGACAGACGGTTTCCAGGCTATACAAAGATTCCATTCCTTTTCTAAGACAATTTTTACATGTCACATAGTATACTATGCACCTGTACAAACATAATGCTGCCTGTTTTTGCATATTGAAAGCAGCAGCTACCATTCTTCCATTTCTGTCCATAAGGTTGGATGTATGTCAGTGATGGCTTATGCAATCTGGGGAGTACTTATCTAACTACCTAGAGCTCCACATAAATAAAGTGTTCTATAACAAAGTCTTTCTTTCTTATTCTTCAGTTTGATATTATGGGCTAAAATGTGTTGCCAAAAACAATATAGACATAATTGTTCCTGTTCACCTCCCTAAGCAAAAAAGTTACCATAGTTTCATAGAAAGTTCCACGATTGTCTTTTCTATTTGCCTTTTCTATTTATCTTTTTCTATTTGCCACTCAGTAATGTAAATACGAGATTTTGCAATTTCTTTCGTCTTTCCCGTTCCCTGGAAATACTACAACATTCTGGGATGTCTATTTGAATGTTACATATTTGCAATATTTTCGGGAAATGTATAATTGACTTGAAGTAGTACTTTTTTTACACAATTCCTTATACACCATCAAAATTTATGTTTCAGTGTGGGTTTTGTCTTATGAGCCATACCCCCTAATAAAGTACTGTATGCTAAAATCACATTTTGGAAAGGTTACCATGAAGATCGACTGTTTCACTACAAAACATGGCTATATCCTCTAATAGATAAAAAAAATACTGGATGAGATATATAGAAAATGCAAGCTGATTGCATTACATTCTGGTACAAATTATACACAAAACAGAACACACTGTGAACCTGTACTTGAAAAAGCTTTGGGTTACTGAAATATAGAATCATTGGACTTTTAAATCTGTTTATTAATATCAACAAATTATATTCTATCATGACACATGGTAGACACATGGTAGTAGTCCTTTGAGAGATGGTTAATATTGACATATCATTTTGTATGTTGCAGCATTCTGAAGATATGGCATCTCAGTACAAGTATCTACTCACAGAATGACTACAATCTAGTTTGGTTTTTCTTTGTCTTGAAGTTCTGAACAGCAAGACATCCAGTACAGTGAGAACTTATCTACTTTGAAAACAATCTAATAATACCTGAATAAAAGATTTAGCTGCAGTTATATCACCCAGCATGATGATTCTTTTCTGTCAAAGATGTCTAAACTAGGAGTTCAAACCGAACTGATGGAGTGAATAATGATGTGTAAGAAGAAGTTGTGGATTGTTTTGGCCCTGTGCTTTGCACTTTCCATCTGGAAGATATATATTTCTGTTTCATCTTTGTCCAAAAATCTTGGTGAGAGGCTACTGCAAGACTCATTAATGAAAGAGGAAATGTGTTACTATAACAAATGTATTGGCCTAAGCAGTTGGGATTGGTTTTGTGACCTCTTTGATGCCTCCGTAAACTGCCTGCTGACTCTTGAAAACTCTGATATCCCACCAGAGGTTCTTCAGTGGTGGCTGGTGAGTACTGGATCATATTACTAAGCTAAACAGCTATAACTATTTAGAGAAAAGAATTGGGCAAAAAATTATTCTCTCTACTAAGTGAAGTGTTGTGTGTAGTACTTGTCCAGATTTGTGTTTCAGTGGGAAATAAATGGTAGAAGCTTATTTTAGCATTTTATCTTTGAGTTCATTTTAACTAAGACTGAGCATAGTAAAAGCACTGAAGTCCAATAAAGAGTGAATTTGTGATCTACATATACTGTATGTAAAACATTTTACGCAACTTGCCTTTTGCTTGATTTTTTTCCTATACTTGTCAAAAACCTGGCTTCTCTTCCTTTCCTCTTTTTGAAGATCTAGATTGCATTATCTTTTGCCAAGATGGACGAAGAAAGATAGACCTGCTTTTGTTTCCTAACTATAGAGAAACCATTCATTGCCGTTCAGTCAGCAATCTCGCTAAATGTTTCAATCTGAATTCCATCAACATAACATGAAATGAGCAGGAATATGGGAGTTAGGGTTGAACAATTTGTAGAGGGCCACAGCCTCCCTCTCCATAATGTACATAATCCAAGTTAGCCACTTTGAAATTTTCAAGCTGTCCTTTGGTTTCTAGTAACCTTTCAGCTCTGTTCTCATGTCTTATGTATCTAAGGTACAGAACATTTTTTTCTATTTAGGACTATTTAGGTGTTTGATGTGTGGTGAGCTACATTAAAAAATAATTTTGATTTTATCTAATGAATATAGAAATTAACTAGACATATTTACTGAAATGTTTCTTTCCATATATTTAATATTTCTCTATTTCTATGTCATTAATCATTACAAATTTATGAATAACCCTAAATTAATCAATCATGGTTACGAAAGGATAAATCCATTTAGTAGGAAGAGATCAGTATTGCAATGAGAAATGATCAAGAATTTGTTTCTACCTTATCATAAATTGACTCAGTATTTTGAGCTGCTTAATACAATTCTGAAACTATACATTTCAGAAAAGTAATATTTATATAACTTGTTAGGCTAGAATGTGACTAGCTGGTTTTTGGTTCAGTGTATCATGCAAATCTAAAACAGTCACATAGTCGTCAGTCCTTTTACCCAAAAAATGCTCCAATGCATTGAGGCTACACAGCTGTACCTTCTGTGTTTATGAAAGAAATAGTGATGGTTTTTCATAGTCAATCTCCTATAGATATAGGACCCATTTTTGAAATCAGTATTGACCAGTGTAGTTCAGAGGTATCCAAAGGGTCTGTATTTCTTCCCCAAAGTAGAACATTTCTTGGGCAGGCGTTATTGGAAGTTTCTCCACCCTGCTTCTAATGCTTTGTTTTATTCCATCAGAAGCTACAAAGTTCAAAAGATGGCAGCCAAATTCAGAAGATGGTAAAATATCTGTCACCCACTGCTAGAGTTCAGGATGTTGTTCATTGTGGAACTTGTGCTGTGGTAGGAAACTCAGGAAGGCTGAGGGGCTCTAAATATGGAGAGAAGATAGATTCTCACAAGTTTGTGATGAGGTAAGTAGGTAGAACAACACAGCATATTTATTTATTTTATTTATTTATTTATTTGATTTGCCAATTGTTTA